ACTGATATTACCATAAAAACTATCAGGTCTGTGCAGTGTCGTATGACATCTATGTACCAAGTTTCATTGAAATGTGATGATTAGTACTTGAGATATCAGTGGAAAAACCGAAAATTGACTAATCATTATGCAAATTAGGTAATTAGTATCCACGGATTATTACCAAAAACTAATCAAAACCTAGCATTAGTTCAGAGCATCTATGTACCAAGTTTCATCAAAATCCAATGAGTGGTTGTTTAGATATCAGTGGAACAGTCATGGAACCACTAAAAAATGGCTAATTATCATGCAAATTAGGTAATTAATATGCACGGATTTTTACCAAAAATTAATCAAATCTGCGCATATGTTCAGAGCATCTATGTACCAAGTTTCATCAAAATCCAATGAGTGGTTCTTTAGATATCAGTGGAACAGTCATAGAACAGCTAAAAATTAGCTAATTATCATGCAAATTAGGTAATTAACGAGCATGGATTTTTACCAAAACCTAATCAAATCTGCGCATTGGCCCAGAGCATCTATGCACCAAGTTTCATCAAAAACCGATGTATGGTTCTTGAGATAGCAGTGGAACAGTCGGACACACATACACACATACACACACACATACACACATACACACATACACACATACACACATACACACATACAGACACACTAACTGCAAAGACTCCCATTTTGTGCTTCGCACATGGGAGTCAAAAACCCTAGCATTACAATATAAGCTAATTATCTATTCTGAACATGCTCAGTTGTTCTCTCAGTGGTGTTGGGAAGAGGTAATTTTGGATGAAAATCATGAAAAAGACCCACTTAGAATTTTCAGATCTGGAAAAAAAATTATGTGCATATTCGGCAGAGACTTATTCATCAATCTGCCAAGTTTCATTGATATCTGCTGCAGAATTTCTGGGAAAATGCTAGAGACGTCACAGTATGAAATTGGAAATACATTGTAATACTAATTAAAAAATGGTGTTTTCAATAGTCTGAATACATGTAGTCAAAAAAGCACAGAAATTGGCAAACAGGTGATTCGTACATTGGTATGGCATATACACTACCATATTTGCTTATATCTTAGCTTTCAGATGATGTATAGTTTGTTATAGTAGCATAGTTCCTAATATTTTGAAACATTGTGTCTAATTAAATCACAGACCAATTGTCAACTTGTTTTTCCATTGCTTCTATATTAAAGACTATATAACTGACTCTACTTACATAATTCTCACAAACCAATGGTGTATGCCATGAGAAATAGTACGTACACTCGTCGGTATCATCTAGATAGACAGGGACGCCAAGATTCCCAATATCGCCATCTTGATTACATATGAAGCTGAAGATGCTATTGCGATGGTATTTGTTGTCGGGACATGGATCACCGTTGGAATAGTTTAGGGATATGATACCATCATTGTAGAATAATTTACGGTTGTATATACCTGCGTTGATAGCTTGACCACTATTTATTCCAACTTGTGACTGGCAAGAACCTATTGGTTGAACGAAGTAATAATTAGGAGTTACCATAAGTCCTATTCATGGTTGAACTACGAATGTACATCATTTACATCAAGTCACATGACAAAGATGGCACTAATTTGTCATAATGAGAAATACTTTAGCTGGAATTAGTTTTCACTCAAAAGGCATTTTGGTAGTTTTGTGTGATATTTATTTTTACTGAGTTGAATGTAAATTACAGTACAAGAAAGAAATTGAGGTATTTTTTACTGATCCATCCCTCCATTATGATTAAAATTGAAGTAAACAGTAAACAGGAAAACTAAAGGGACCCTCACTTCATGTTTGAGGCATTCTTGGCCCAAAGGCTTAAAGTGTGCACCAGTAATAAGGAGATTTACGGTTAACTTCCCACTCAGCACTAAACAAAACAAGCAGCCTATCGGCTGAGATAGCTCCGCGGTTAGCAATGCACATTTCAATTAAAGAACTGAAGACATCATTAGAAAATGAACAATATGAATAGTATCAAAGCAATCAGACTTACAGTTTTTAACAAGAAGTCGAAAATATCACTTTTTACCAAAAATTACAAAAATATTCACCAAAATAAATTAATTAGAGAATTGAAGATATCATCACAAAACAAACAAATCTGAGAGAGGTCCACATGTAGTACCTATATATGTAGTATCAAAGCAATTGGACTTGCAGTTTTTAACAAGAAGTCGAAAATATCACTTTTCACCAAAAAATGACAAAAATATTTACCAAAATTAGAGAATTAAAGATATCATTACAAAATGAACAAATCTGAGAGAGGTCCACATGTAGTACCTATATATGTAATATCAAAGCATTTGCACTTGCGGTTTTTAACAAGAAGTCGAAAATATCAGTTTTTACCAAAAATGACAAAAATATTCACCAAAATTAGAGAATTAAAGATATCATTACAAAATGAACAAATCTGAGAGAGGTCCACATGTAGTACCTATATATGTAATATCAAAGCAATTGCACTTGCGGTTTTTAACAAG